GAGTAGAGAAGATACTAATGAAATAAAAATAGTTCTAAGTATTCAAAAGTTGCATACATGTGGCCCCCTGGGAAATTCCCCCTCCAATCCCCCAGTTAGTAGGCAATGAGCACCTATATATACCAATCTGAGAGGGGTAAATATGTAACTGTGGCTGAGTCCAGGTACGCAGCTGACTTGGCAGACAGCTGATAAGTGTCGGCTGTGGGTGGCATGGGTCATCCAGGTTAGTGCAAAGCGATAGTAGCTACTTGGCTATGACGGAGCCTGATGAGTCATGAAGACTTTTGGGACTGAAGTAATGATGATCTTTGACTATGCATTTAATGTGATGGTGACTGCTGTTCAGCGAGGGGTTCAAGAATGTCCACCTTCCGTCTCGGTTTTGCGAGAGGACCAAGAAAATACGTCTTTCGTCTAGACCCTCGAGGGAGACGATAAGAGAGGCCTTTCGTCTCAGCCTTCGAGGGAGACGAGAAGTCGGTGTATCTGGGTCAAGTCAAGATAATGGGCCGAGTGTGGAGGCTTGTGGGCTTGATCTGATAGTTAGGTGGGCAAGTACCATCTTTCGAGTTGGCCATGTAAGTTGTCAACTCAGCTCTGAGTGAATGAGGATGGTCGACTCGATCGATGAGGTCGAATAAAAGCTGATCTTGACTTGGCCTGTCTCGGGGGGTTTGTTTTCGTCGAAAGTCACCTTAGTCATTGATTTCATTAAACTTTAAACGTTACAAATGAATTCAAATAACAAAAGAAAAAGATTACAACTTTCTTGAAAATACGAGCCACCCTCAGGTGGCCCGACTCCCCCCCCTCTCTCTCTTGTGCACAAAGGCACAGTTCAGAGAGGCTATAAATAGGGGGGGTGGTTGTTCATTTGAGGGACTTCTTCTGAAACTTTTGAGAGAGCCGAAACTCTGCCGGATTGTCACCTCAACTCGGAGATCTGAAGGCTTGAAGACTTGGAGACCCGGATTTGATTCTTAGCGAGCACCCGCACCGAAAAAGGCAGGAGTTCGAGAGAGTCTAATCCTCAGATCTACGTCGTTACACTCCGGATCTAAGCTTGGTTCTTAGATCCCGAGATTCGAGCGGTCGTTTCCTTGGTGAAACGATCCCTCCCGGCTATTATCTCCTTGGTGGGATAATACCCGTAATACGTCGTAGATCTGCTTGGATCCAGATCACGCGGTGGTCCACGGTAAGCAACCCCGGCGCAGGCAAACAACCCACAGAAGCAAGAGACCGGATAACAGGATCTTGTGATTTGTTCGGTAAAAGAGAGAAGTTGTAATTTTGATTTCTTTGTTTTATTTTGATTTTCATTGTAAGCCGGATCTTATAAAAAGACCGGATCTCTTTGTAACGCATAAAGTTGTTAACTGAGTGCAATGACATCGATAATGAAGAAAACACAAACTTTTCCCGCGAACAGAACTGTCAACTGTTCTCTGTTATTTTTGCAAAAAATCAGTGTATCATCTGCATACTGAAGGCAATGAACTTTATCTCTCATATTATTGGGTCCTAACCCTTCAATAAGATGGGATTCCACTGCTAAATTTAGCATGAACTTTATCTCTCATATTATTGGGTCCTAACCCTTCAATAAGATGGGATTCCACTGCTAAATTTAGCATTTTAGTAAAAGAGTCTGCTGCCAAAACAAACAAAAGGGGAGACAAAGGATCTCCTTGAAAAATTATTTAGAGTTATTATAAAAGGTTAACTTTTGTATAAAATTAACTAAGAATTAAAAATTTTAAAATTCATCAAGTAAATCAATTATTAAATTAATTAGCTTTATCAAATTGGCAAGTGATAAAAAAAAATTGAAGGAAAGAAAAGAAAGAGTAAAAGAACAGAAAGGGTAAAAGAAAGGCTAAAAAAACTAGTCCCCACCACCGCACGTAAATTTTGCATCGCCCTCAATGCAAACTATATGACGCACAAAGTGAAGCGGATAGGAAATGAAGCACTTATATTTGTTTGGTCGGTCTTGGATAATACTAAAATAATAAAAATCTATAATTCCGTTTGTTACCAGGAGAGTGTAGCAAAAAAAATTTTACTATTAAATATAAGTTAGAGATATATAACTGAAAAGTGGGTAAAACAATAGGTGTGTATTAGTGCTGTTTAGCCTTATTCTAGCACATATTCTTGTAAGTAATCCAGTTTTGTTTTTTACTTATCCCACTGGTTTACAAGTACTAAACCCCAATTTTTATTCCTGCCAAACTCACGTGCAACGACTAGGAAGCGAATAAACAAGGCATTAAAAAAGCCGTACGTATGCACGTGGGCCCGCACGTAGACCCGCCTCGATCCACGAGAAAGCGCAGAGTTTGACCCGCATAATTAAGCCCAAATCCATCCCATCAATCTCCGTTTAAGGAATCCTAATCGCCGTACTAATTAATCATTAACTGGGGGAAAATATTCCCTAAGCCAACCGGTCCGTTGTACCGCCGGTTGAAACCCGAAACGAAAGCAAGTACGCCTCTGTGCAGCTCTGACCTGGGCCTGGTGGACCAGAGCGAACCACGTGAACCTCGGCCAGTACCCGTACCCCGCGGGTACACCTGAAACGAGCATGCGCTGCACTGCGTCTCCGATCTCCCTGTCGATCACGGGCCATTTGATCCCTCTGATTTCCTATGTAATAAGGTGTCTTATTAAGAGCTATTATTTTTAGAGGAAACCATGTGACGTACTTCATTTCATGATGAATTTTATACCAGTACCATCAAAATATAATATTTCATTTAGGAGCTGTTTGGTTGTTTTCCAAAAAAAATCAGAAATGGAAAATTCGGTTTTCAAACTATTTCAATAGCTTTCATGACATTTCCCACTTTTCTTTTTTTTTTTGTTTGTTTCGCAAATAAATCACCCCATTTCACCGTAAGTCACAAAAAAACAAAAAAAAAACCGCAATAGTAACAGTGTTTTTTTAATAGTAACGGTGTTTTCATCATTTAAATAATCTGTTTTATTCACATGGACTGTTTCAACAGTGCTTTTAGTAATTAAAAATTCATAGAAGTGATATTTGCAAGTGTCTTCAAATGTTTTTGGTGTGAAAACACATTTCTTAAAAATCTGACATGACATCCTGCGTAGCACCCTTATTTTTTAAAATCACAAAACGAAACAAACATGTGATTTGAAAAATCGGTTGAAACCAAAATCCTACGTGAAAGGGGGGATTTCTTGAAATGTGACATGGCGGGGGGTTTTCTCATTTTTTGGCAAACAAACAACCCCTTAGTTTAAAGATACGCATGAAGGCACCGACAAATGTAATATTTTTTTGGAGTAAAACTTTGCGCGTGAACATTTTTTCGCTCCTCGCTTTGAACTGTCTGTACAAACACAATATTCTGTTTAGGGGGTGTTTGTGTCAAATCCTATAATTTTAGGGTATGAATTTCACCATGGAATTTAAAATCCATATGTGTTTTGTTATGAGTTGGTATTTCTAAAATGTTCTTTGTTTCATTAATATTTTAGGATTTGGAATACTATAATTTGTAATATTTTGTTTGTTTCAAGCTCAAATTGTAACATTACTAAATGCTAACATTTTATAATATGATGAATATGCTATCTTGGTGAGGTTACATCCCCAAAAAGACGAAATTGGGAGGTAAGCATACCCATTTATGGGATTTGTCAAAATACTCTCCAATTGAGAGGATTTGGCAAATTCTAAAAATTGGGCACTATTTATACTTTTGGGATTCAATATTCTAAAATTTTTTAAATACAAACACCATATAAGGAATCCCAAAATACAAAAAAACTCACTTTTTGATCCAAAAACTTGTAATCCATAGCAAATACCAAAGTTTTTGGTGAAACAAGTACATCATTATATAATTTTGTGTTTGTAAGATGCACTTTTTTTTATCGAATTAGAATTTGCGACAAGGCGATTGTGCATGATGAGTTTTAGGGCTTTGATGTAGCTAACTTTACGATGAAATCAAGAATAAACAAATAATCAAACAAAATAGGAGGGAATATTTCTTTGTTAGTTGAAGAATAATAATATGATATTTTTTCGCTTGCAACGTTTGCGTAGGAACAATTTTTTTTTCCCTTTTGCAAATCCTAAAAGAAGTTCTCTCATTTTTCTTCTCATTTTTTCATCGTCACGACCTTTTCTTTCTCATATTACAACAAATTACTTCTCAAGATGTCATTGACAGATCATAATTCATGCTACATTCCTTTCTCTACGTCTTTTTGACAAGGATTACTCAAATCCTAATTCTTTTTTCTAATCCTAATTCTTTTTTCTAACTAGAATTTAAATCCTATAACATCAAATTTAGTTTCGGTATAAAGTCAATTTAAAATATGAGATTAATGGGTATCCTTGTCATAGGAGAAAAATTCTTTTTTTGTCGCCTATGTGGTATAATCCCCACCATCCTCATAAAATAGGTACAAATCTCCACCAACTCACACACTCTCTCCTACTTTATAAGGATGATGATGATTATGCCACATAAACGTTAACGAGTAAATCCCCTCCTATGACAAGGATACCTGTTAATCTCTTAAAGGAAGCTCGATCTAAAGCCAACATTTGACCTGACAAAATCATTTCAAATTAAAACATCAAAAAAAAAATTGGCCTGATCTCAAGTTTGTATACTCGATTGATTTTTTTCCTCTGTCCACCCCCCTGCGCGCACCCGGGGCCCGCACGAGTACAATAATTTAACGCGCAGGGTAAAAAAAAAGTGAAAATATAAATTATTGAGGGGTCTTTTCGAGTTCGAGTCCGTACGACAGTGACAGGGACAATGAAAAAAAAAGCGCAGAAATGGGGCACATGCTCGCGGTCACATCACTTACACACGACGGACGGCTACGATTCTATGAAGCGAAATGCCGACGGCCCGGATTTACATGTTTTAATTCGGTGAATTTATTTATTTTCCTTTTTTTAATTCGGCGAATAATAAAGGTGACAGCGAGAGTTTCCTCCTCAAAAAAAGAAGGAAAAAAAAAGATAGCGCTTTTCTCTCTCTCCTTCTCTTCTTTATTTACTGATATATTTGAGTTTTTGAGGTTTTTCGGGTGATTTTAGAGCTTGAGAGGTTCAGTTTGATGGCGATTTTGAGGGGGAGTGAGCTTCTTCGAGCTTTATGCTGCCTGATTTCAGCTTAAATTCTCTACGTTTTGGTTCCGATTCGAGAAAACCCTAGCTTGAATCTTTGTTTGTTCACTGGAATCGAGAAATGAAGTCAAATTCTTATTTTGAGCTCTGTTGAAAGGTTTAGGGTTTCGAGATGAACTCTTCGCTGAGTTTAGGGGAGCAGGATCAAGATGGTACCTTTCCCCCTTACTTTTCATTCTAAAAATAGAAAAAAGAACAAAATTTGATCTTTGTAGTGTTTTCCCCTCCTTCTGTAGACGGAGAGAAGAGAAGCTTGAACTCGGAGCTCTGGCACGCGTGTGCTGGGCCTCTGGTCTGCTTGCCGACCATCGGCACACGTGTGGTTTACTTCCCTCAAGGCCACAGTGAGCAGGTGAGAAAGATCAAAACTTTTGTCCATGTTTATTTCCAAAAACCGGGGAAATAATGATTTTCTTTGGGGTGCAATTTACAAAAGGTTGCAGCTTCCACAAACAAGGAGGTCGAGGGCCACATCCCGAATTATCCGAATTTGCCTCCTCAGTTGATATGCCAGCTTCACAATGTCACAATGCATGTGAGGTTTCTTGGTCATCTTTTTTTTGTTTTCAGGATATTATAGAGAATGCTGATTGACTGTGGAATTGAAATTGTAGGCAGACGTGGAAACTGATGAAGTCTATGCACAAATGACCTTACAGCCTCTAAGCCCGGTAACATGGAGATGATTACTCTAAAGATTATTTCATTTGTTATAGGAAATGGAGACAAACAATACTATCGGTGTTGTTTTGCAGCAAGAACAGAAGGATACTTATGTACCCATTGAGATGGGCGTCGCGAGCAAGCAGCCGATGAACTATTTCTGCAAGACTCTAACGGCGAGTGATACAAGTACTCACGGGGGCTTCTCTGTTCCTCGTCGTGCTGCTGAAAAAGTGTTTCCACCTCTGGTTTGTGGGTCATGCTTTTGTTTTGTTTTCGTTGAATTTTATTTATAGTGAGATTGCCTAGAAAGTAAGTGATTGTAGTGCTTGTGTCTGTTCGATTTTAGGATTTCTCGCAGCAGCCACCTGCGCAGGAGCTTATTGCCCGGGACATTCATGATGTTGAGTGGAAGTTTCGGCATATCTTTCGAGGTTAGGACATTCACCTTGTCTTCAATTTCTTTTTCCTATGTAACAAAAGAAAGAAGAAAGGAGGCAACATAGAAGAGAAATTAGGAGATGATTCGGCATATTGAAGTTGAGAGACCTGATGATTAATGCGGGTTACAGAAAATAAAGAATTCAATAATGTGATTATTTGCATTTTAATTGATTAATGACTTATTAAATTAAATATCGTGTAACTACATTTCAATAACAGCGGGAAATGTTTTGGTTTAGTTTTAGTGAAGAGATTCAAATAATTGAATTTCTTTCCTGAGGTGATTTTATAATTAATACTATGATTGGTTGCAGTTACTATTGTCCGTAGACCATCTACATAATAGCAATTTTTGAACCCTATGTTTCGTCCACCATCATGACAAAATAACTTCTTTTGCATACATGTCCTGTAAAAGTTATCATTTGCTCATTTTTCCTTGAAAATTTCCAATTGTATGTTCGTCCTTAAAGAAACTACTAAATACATCAGGAGATATTAAAGTTACATAACTTACATAATACCCATGGCAATATTATCTATTATCATACACACGCTGTTTAAATCTAGATAAAAAATTTGTGTAATGCTAGCTGAACATGATAGATTTTTATTTAATTCTTTATAATGACAACTTATATAGTAGATAGTGAAGTAAATTCTTAAATTTCAAAGGAGAAGCTTATAACATAAATAAAGAGTCCGACATGATTTTACAAACCAGATATGTCAGTGCTGATTACTTTTGGTGAACGCTTAATGATTAAAGAGTCCAATGTAAATTATAATAAGCATTCTCGTAAAAATATAAAAAAGATCGTAATAGCCACATCAAAGCGTCTATGCTACTGGATATTTGAAATCCTAGACCATTGAACAATAATTTGGTATAACTAATTAACAATAAACTAAAATCAACTAATCAAGCTAATGGACACAATTGACTACTGATGCAGGGTATGGTTACAAGTCCGATAGTTTTGGAAAGGTACATGTGGAGCTAATACTTTTTGAGGGTACATAAGTAAAATGGTAAACTAGGGTATATATGCAAAAAATATAAAATTTTAAAATGAGTTAGTGAAGCAACCAATGTATGATAGACCTAGAATTTCATCCCAATAATATTGAAACTCCGTGAGACTTCTCAAGGATGTGTCTGCTTAGCTGCTAAGTGAAAATGCTTAGAGAACCAATAGAAGCCTTTATTTATAATACTGGGAAAGTTTTGTTAGATCGTAAAGATAATAAGGATTGAGTGACCGAAAAGGGAGCATCAATTGGTTGGTTAGGCGGTACCTATAACTATCATCATGGCAGTTTTTATGTGGTTTGTCTGAAATTCTGTCTTTTAAGTTTTTAAGGCTCTTAACCTTCTTGCTTAGAGAACCAATAGAAACCTTTACTTATACTACTGGAAACGTTTTGTTGGATCACAAAGATTAATCAGTTGATTGGTTAGGTGGTACCTATAACTATCATCATGGCAGTTTTATGTGGTCTGTCTGAAATTCTGTCTTAAGATTTTAAGGCTCTTAACCTTCTTGTTTAGGAAAGCATTCTTCCAGATGATCGCCCACATGTTCCTCTTCAGGGATGCATTCTACAAGAGGAGTATTTCATAGTTTATAGATCATGCATCAAGTGGCCCATGATAGAATTCCCTCGAAACTTATTTTAGGAGTGACCTTATACTCAAGGATGCAGTTTAAATCTTTAGATGCTTTCCCTCTCGACCAATGAAGGAACTGCAATATAGATGGTGTACCATATAGCTTGCACCAATAGTTTGTGCCATATTCCTCTCTGTGACATTTGGTTGTGTCTTTTTTTGTTTTGTTTTTGTTTTTTGGTTTTTTTTGCATTCAATTAGCAATAAAACATTTGGCTTGCATTCTGACAAAAATTTGAAGTTTAGCAGTCATGATATGATATTTCCACTCATGACATGCATGCTTTTAGGAGGCACATAGTACATGGGTACTTATTGATGCGAAAAATTTAATAACATAACGCATTCTCCTGTATCTTCTTTTTTGGCAGGCCAACCAAAAAGACATCTTCTTACTACAGGCTGGAGTGTGTTTGTCAGTGCCAAGAGACTTGTTGCTGGGGATTCTGTCATCTTCATATGGTCCACTTTAATATTTGCCTTTTTTTCCCCATGTTGTAGAAAAATGTGTCAAATTAATTTATGAAAGCAGACAGAACATTCATAGTTTTGTTACTTTTGGTAGGAATGAGAAGAACCAGCTTTTGTTAGGAATTCGGCGGGCTAGCCGACCACAAACCATAATGCCCTCATCAGTTCTGTCCAGTGATAGTATGCACATAGGGCTCCTTGCTGCAGCAGCTCATGCTGCTGCGACAAATAGCCGTTTCACCATTTTCTATAACCCAAGGTGGATTTTTACTCTGCGGTTGCTAATCTGTACGTGCTTGTGTTTTTACTAATGTGCAAATGTTGCTTGTTTCTGATGATTTTCATAGGGCATGCCCATCTGAGTTTGTTATACCACTGACAAGATATGTTAAAGCTGTCTATCACACTCGTGTATCAGTTGGGATGCGCTTCCGCATGCTGTTTGAGACTGAAGAGTCGAGCGTTCGCAGGTAATATATCAGTCTTTAACAATACTTACTGTATCAGGTTACTTTCCCGGCAAATTAGATTATGTTATTATTACATAAAGGCGTATGCTTAAACCTCATGTGGCTTTAGCCGAGTTTTCTATAGTTGCAATGAAATATTTCAACTCTTTTGAATCATGTGAGATTTGGCTCTGGTTCTATTGAAGTTATGAATCAGCCTGTTTTGGTTTTCAGCCCGATTGTCTTCAAGTATAATTTTACCAAAAATGTGTTTCATTTGGATTTCATGTTGCATAAAGGTACATGGGGACGATTACAGGCATAGGTGATTTGGATCCTGTCCGCTGGCCAAATTCTCAGTGGAGGTCAGTCAAGGTAAAAGCTGTAGAAGTCCATTGTCTACTTATCACTGTATAATATATTCTATCACTTCACCAATACCTTGGACACTTCATGCATGATATTCATCCATTTATATTTGTTATAAGAATGCTTTTACATAATTACATATCACAGCAAAATCAACTGAGGCGTGCAATTTCAGGAATTTATACTATACGAAAAGCAATCAGCAACAATCCTGATTTTATTAAGTTAGGCCAGCTTGTTATTTGAAGCAACTAGATCATGTACTAGCATTAGTTAAATTAGCCTTATAGATCTGAGGTCACAACTGTCTACTCGACATCCTTGATAATGCAAACATTCTTCATTGTTCTCTTCAATTGCATTACATGGTGTTTTGATATTCCAACTGTGGTCCACATCAGGACCATCCCTTGCATTTTATCTGTGCAAATTCTTTGTTTCATATGTGGGTTTGAAATTAACTTTAAGTATTATCAGATCATCAAATTATGTATATTTTTCAAGATGCCACACTGTAATAGATCCACTCAACAAACACTTGTGGTCTATTGATGCTGCCCATGTGTTTTTCAGGGATATAAAAACCTTAACCATGGCATATTTAGGACTAGGTAATATGCACAACAACAGAAACAAAAAAGCCTTTATCACAAAATTTGGGGTCGGCCAGGACTAGATAATATGTCATAATGTAAATCAGAAAGGCTATCTTAGACTCCTAGTCTTTGGAAGTGTATTTTTATTTTGTAGTCTTACCTGTTTAGGATTTTTTTCATGTGTACTTCTAAAGCTTTTTCTTTTTTTTATCTTAACTTGAAATTTTATGGTCCTTTGAGAATCAAGTCTTGTTCTTTTATAACATTTCTCTTATTTTTTCTTTTCCTCTTAGGCCACTTTCCCTTGAAGTTCATGACTGTGTCATTCTACTATGTTTCTTCTGCTACTCGATAAAAATATGTATGACTGTTTGAACTAATATGCGAGCAATATGAAAATGTAGGTTGGTTGGGATGAATCTACTGCTGGTGACAGACAGCCTAGAGTTTCGCTATGGGACATTGAGCCTTTAACCACTTTTCCCATGTATCCATCATTGTTCCCACTCAGACTTAAACGGCCTTGGCAACCTGGGGCATCATTCCCTCATGGTAAGTTTTTTATGTATATGAAGTTTTTGATGTATATGAAGTTATCTTTTAACAACTTTGTCCTACACTTTGCATGTGAAGCTTTATTTCTTATGAATCAGAGCTGTAGCTCTTTCTTAATGCGGACTAACAAAACATATGCTTATTAGTTGTTGCTTCACGTATCTTGAGAAGTTCGACAGTGTGATGTATCTGTATAGCAGTAAATTAACTTGGGAATGGGTTCTTTTACTGGTTGGAACCACATCGACTATCACTATCACCACTATCAAAATAAGAATAAAGTCATGCATATTAGCACACAGCCACATGAAAATAGGGAGAAGAAGATAAAAAAGCATACTTGTGGAGAGATGAGCTTTATTCCAAATGTTATAGTAGTTCTTACTATGCCATCATGTCCAACACTGTCATATTGATTTTACTTGTTTGTTAATAGCAAAAGACTTCTATTCTTTCTAAAGAAAAAAGCACGATAATGGACAAAGATAAAGAAAAGCTAAGAAATTAGTTTGTTTTATATATTATGTATTATGGTTGGCATGTTTAAATTTTTTTTCTTAATTTTATCCTTTTGTTAGTTGATAGGGTGTATAACTACTTACCAAAATTAATCAGTCATAATCTCCAATATAGATGGCTTATGACACCACAGTTTCTCACAACTCTTGTTATGATACTATAATCAGCTCACTCTTTGTATATATCACTATTATCAGTTCCCTTAACTATAGTCATTTACTTCACGCAGTTTCTATAGCTTCAAATCTTATCATGATATCACATAAAATATTACTTACTTACAGATGAATGAGAAATAATAGTCAGTGACACTAATATTTGACACTAATGCTGACAAAGAGCTGTCATATAAACAATGATGACTCTGGCTTTCCCTTAATATATTGTTATCCGCGTACTCATCTTATCAAATGGGAATATTATGATAGATACAGTGCTTGTACTCACACAAGATGAGCCATATGTGAGTCAAAATGAGTATGGTACATGGAACAGCTATTTTTTGTTGTCGATGGCTTCGAACAAGATGCAATTATCATCATGCTTTTCTGATTGCCAGATCGAGATTCTGGGCAGACTTTGACCATGTCATAGGTCTCATTACTGACATTTTTTATCTTCTCTGCTCATTGTTCTGTTGGCATGATTTATTCTGAAGTCCCTTGTTCATTATTTTTATTTGTCATTAAAGGACAGGTTAGCTTGAATCTGCAAAATACAGAATATCTATATGATGGAAAGTAGTAGCAGGACAAATCCTTGTTATTCAATCTGAATTTGTGGGTGTGTCATATGACCTTCTAATATCTGCCTGATGATGTTTTTGCTACCTTAGCTTTGCACACCCCATCTCACACTTTTGACAATCAATCAGATGTTTGTCTACCAGCGTTACTCTTTGACCTTCAACATTTCCATTTCCCTGGCTGGACAGTCTCTAGGACACTTTTATCTAATAAAATCCTTACCGATCTTAGCTGTTATGAATAGACTCTTATACCATATTTTCTATCCATATTTTCTTTTTCAGTAAGTATGCAAGATGAGGGCAATCCTTTTATGTGGTTAAGAGGGGATGCAAGAGATCAAGGCCTTCATTCCTTGAATTATCAATCACTTGGTATGGGCCCCTCAATTCAGCAGAGGGTTGAATCGTCAATACTAGGCAATGAGCGTGATCAATACCATATGATATCTGCTGCAGCTTTGCAGGACTTAAGGGGTGGGGATTTTCTAAAGCAACAACTGTTACAGTATCAGCAATCTCTTCAGTTTCAGCAGCACTCTGGCCTAACCAGTCCATTATTTCAGCAGCAGTTTGTTCAGCAAACAGACACTCAGCAGATTATTTGTCCTCAGTCGCAAAGTATAGTGGAAAACCATAATGTTCTAAACCAGCAGTTGCAGCAGCCCCATGATGAGCAACGGAAGCAGCAAGTCCAGGAGATCCAAGACTATGCACAGATGTTATCGTTCCAGAACAATTACTTGCAGCAGCCGAAATCTCCAGTGATTTCTCAGTTGTGTCAAAATTTGGTTTTTCCTGGTTCAGGCGCAAATTTCTCATCAGCCGTGCCACCTACCGGTGTACAGAGTATTATGAATGATGGTCAGCCTCATAGAGTTGCCAATGTTTCAAATTTGTCAGGACTTGGTCAACCCATGAGTGAGCAAAACCAGCAACCATGGGAGACAAAGCTTACCATGTCTCCTTTTACTGGCACAGTTTTGCTCCCATCATTACCTGAGAAGGATGGTTCTGTGGAAGCTGATAATGGCGGAGCTGAATCTGAGAATCACAATGTATTTAGTGGGAATATGGATTCCTCCTCTCTTCTCTCCAATGGTGTGCACACCCTAAGTGCAAATGCTTTCAACACTAATTTATCTCCAGCACAGTATGATGCTCCTTGTATTCAGAATCCTCTTTACAGTTACTTGGATGAATCATCAGGTTTTGCGCAAAATAGAGAGGAGACTGATCTGACAACCAAAACATTTGTGAAGGTAAGAACTACATTCTCTGACACTACTTAAAAGCAAAGGTGCTAATATTTCCCTTCATTTATGCAGGTTTATAAGTCAGGATCAGTTGGAAGATCACTAGACATCTCTCGCTTCAGTAGTTATGAGGAGCTACGTGAGGAGCTGAGTCAGATGTTTGGTATTGAGGGTCAATTGGAAGACCCTCGTAGATCAGGCTGGCAGCTTGTATTTGTCGACAGGGAGGATGATGTGCTTCTCCTTGGAGACGACCCCTGGGAGTAAGAGCTTGAAACTTCCACATTTTTCTTATTGTCAAAGCTTCCCTTCTAAACTATCTGTTTTCTTCTTAGGTTAAGAAAATGACGTTAGATATCTAGCATTCTACTAGAATGTTGAAATTCCAGTATCGCTAATATATTCAGACAAGAAGTCTAAAAGGTTGACAAACAATACACTTAATAATAAATAGTGCCTTGGAAGGACTGAAGCATTGTTATGTAACTTCTATGTCCTCTATAGTTTAGTATCCACAGCGTTCATTTAATATAACTTTAACATTTATCTATTACTTATCAAATATGATTGCAAATATAATGCTTCATTATATATTACTTAAAAAATATTATATGTATCAGGGGTTGGATTATACACATATATAACATAGCATGTGATAATCAGGCACATCTGAGCATGTGATTTGTTAAGAAAAGATATTGTTTTTGGTGCAACCTGTCCCAGCCATAACTAAATTGGTTTGGGGCATTTGTTTTTTTAAGGAATACTTTATGTGGAACAATAACAAATGGTAATGTTCCATGAGATTGGTTTAGCTCCAAAAGACAGCTCTCAGTCCTGTATTAAGATTTTGTTAAAAAGTGTATGCCTTCTGCTAATGCAATTGTTTGTAGGATGTCATGAGTCACGCCTGATATTTCACAGGCTATCGGTTTCATACAGGGATCTGTTCTTAGTTCGCATCATTTCCTGGTGGATCTATAATTCATGATTATTTATCATTTAATACTATTTTGCAACGGATCGTCGTTATGCCATGTCACATACATATAGGACCAGAATGCTGTATGTGGAAGCATATGCACACCTTGTCATATACATGCATGAACGTTGAACAATCTACAGGTGGACCTATGCTCTCGTATTCCTGCTAACAGAAAATTTCCTTTGATGTAGGGCATTTGTGAATAATGTTTGGTACATCAAAATACTTTCACCAGAGGATGTGAAGAAAATGGGGAAACCGAGTGCAGAATCCTTCTCTTAGTTTTCTTGCCGGTGAAAAATCCAAATTGGTACTCTATATATTTTATTTTGTATTATAATTAACGCTTTCATTTTTGGAGACAATTAACAATATCATTTACAACCACATAAGTTGTCCTCAAAGATAATTATACATTTCAAATTCGTATGAACTAGGGTGCGGACTGGCTAGTTTTGACATGATATATGACATGATGAATAATGAGAAATCAACTTGCATGAAAAAGGTGACTGGAAAGAAGCTAATCTAGGGGGAAAGTTCTTCACATGAAAAATTTAGAAACGGGCTTGAAAAAACGCAAGATTCTAATGTGAGGTTTTATCTGGTTTATGCATCACCCAGAACTGTATGATATATTTTCTGTATTTTTGAAAGTTATTTACTCTTGACATACTCCTGCATGACAATAACAGCCTATTGTCAAGTATGCTTCAAAGGCTGGTTCTCAGTAGAATGAGTGCTTGAGTAACTTCATATTTTGGACACTAACTTGTGTAGATATTATATTTATGAAGTGCATCTACTGATGTCATGGCTTAAACTGTTTATTTTCAGGTTCACAATTTGCTGCCTATGGGCACTCTAGTTTAGCTATCGTCATGGACAGTGCAGTAGAACTGGCACGGGGCCGCTTGTTCGCTGCAGTACTTTGTTCGGTTTGTAGCGTAAATGTTAACTATGTTCTCTATGAACCACTTCGATCAAGTATCTGTACTCCTGGACAATCTTTTGTTGTATCTTACTGTATGCTTCTTTTATGATTATTATGCACCTGCTAACACTTTGCCTTAATAATGTCTGTCTCAAGAGAACTAGTGTCTTCATTGCACTCTGTTTGACAGGGCCTTTTGATTTTTATGGCAGTATCAGGCTAGTTTGCGTTGTCTCAAGCTGCACTTTTCTGGTTTGGTTCTTTGTATATAGTGCTGGGTTCTTTATCTTAGTTTGCTCATGATCTTCAAATGTTTTTGTTTTAATCACAGTTGTGTTATGCCAGAAAAAAATAACTAATATCATATAGGAAATTATATGGTACTGCACTCAGTAGATTTTATTCGTCAGGTCTGGTTTGCTGAATTTAGCTCATGATGTTCATATTAGAATGAACACTGACAACTTCTTGAGATGCTCATATTAGAAGCATTTTCCTCATAAAGTTGACTGTTGTACGCTGAAATAGGATGTCACGTGTCTAAAAGGCAAACATGATCCTCTAAATACTCGAAAAGGTTTTTCTCCTCATGAAGATTTTATTCTTCCACAAAGTTTTTCCCCCTCTCCTCACGAAGATTTTATTCTCCCAGAAAAAGGTTTTTCCTGCATAAAGTTGACTTGTACACTTGAGGAGGATGTAAAATATCTAAAAGTCACACACTGCAAGATATCTGTTTAGTAAAGGGTAGCACTAGAGGCACACCTTTAACCACAACCTCAACCACACACCCTCTCTCATTTGCTACAGTGCACCGAGCCCCACATGAGATTTTAAAAATTTAAAATCCAATGTGGGGCCTGGTGCACTATAGCAAATGAGAGAGGGGGTGTGGTTGAGGTTGTAGTTAGGGGTGTGCCCCTATCATTTTCCTTTAGTAAACTACACAAAATAATCCAGACCTAATTTTGCGTTAAATTAGTTCTATTGAACCAAGGGGGATGTCCGTATGTGGGTCAAAATGAAACTGTGTTTTAACTCTCTTTTTGACCTGAGAAAAATTGGGCCAGCTGCGGCCTAGTTTTTCCTAAACCGAATTCTTCTCAAAATTGAACTAGGTTTAAACCTGGTTCAATTTTGAGTTTGAACGTGGTCCAAATTTGAGAGATTGCCAAACTTGTCCTTAGGGTCAGTTTCACCAACTCCTCAAATTTGGGTATGATTGATCATAAATTGGTTCTATTTGACAGTTATGATACAGTCTAAATTTAACACTCATCATACTCCCATGTATTGCACTCAAAGAAAATATCACAGCCACCAATTAGATAATTAATGGTTGTGATTATGTAGTTGCCCCGCCACTACTTTTTTTCTCGAACAAGGGTCACCTCAGTTTGGGAAGTTGCCAAACATGCACTTAAGAATTGAGCATGCTTGATATCTATGAATCTTAAACATGCCCTTAAAGATTTGAACATGCTTGATATCTATGAAACTTGAAACTCTCTAAGATTTTTCTCAGATACAAGACATACATTCCTATAGACATCATGCATATATTGATTAACTTAAAAATACAAACACATGAACAGCACTACAGGCTCAAGAAGAACAAATAAACAGCACGAAACAAAGCAAACATATAATGTTTGTGAAGAAACGCATTCCTTTATTCCAAGAGAGAGAGAGAGAGAGAGAGAGGCGTCTAAGGATCTTCAAGAGGATCCTCCTCGGACGGCCTCGACGACCCTGTCGGCCGCCTCCTTGGCGGCCTCAGCAGCTCCTGCGGGAATGCAGGCGGTCTTGCACATGGTGGTGCAGCTGTCGAGGTTCTTCCCGTTGGAGCACCTCTCAATGCAGTCGTCCATGCACCGGAACGCGTGGGTGGTGGGGATCGAGGCGGCGACCACCATGGCGATGAGGAGGGCGGCGAGCACGGCGAGCTTTGTGTTGGCCATTTCTTGGTTGTTGGAGTTTGTTTTGATGATGATGCGTGTGAGGGGATTGGTAGCGACCGATTGTGCTAAGTTTGTGTATGAGGTTTCGGTACTTCTATTAACCGAGAAGATGGGGCGTGTGAGGGCGGAGCGGGGGTGGGGTGGACGGTGCGGCTGGTGCCAAGAGGTCGGCTGCGTTTGCGAGATTTTTGCGGTTGGGTTTGTGGAGGGGAGGGAAATGTGGAGAGGTGTTGGTCTGGAAACAAGAGAGGAAAATTTCTATATAAAAAAGGACTTGGTCTTTAGCTTTTTTTTTTGAAAAAAAACTTGATCTTTAGTTATTATAGGAGAATTTGGGTTTCTTTTCCTTTACAATTTTGTAATATCACTTTTTGAGCACCACCATATATTGTTTAATGAATGGTTATGACTTGCCCCTTGCCTAATAATAGCCCCCGTAAAAAGTCCTATTATAGTAAAGACATAAACCTAAGAAGACAATCAAAATATTTATCTACGTGCAACGCATGTGCATCCTACTGGCACAAATTGTTTTCCTTATGCCAATGATATGAACCATAGAGGAGGTCTGGATGTGCATCACGTTTGTTATTCATCAAATTAGTACAATGAAGAGACACACCACTTTCTGAGAGAGTATCCGGTAAAGACGGTCCATGATATTATAATATGCACCAAAAAGATGTTAATCCATGGACCTATGCGCAAATCTTGAAATCAAATGACACAAAGGCTAATATTCATTTACTGCACATTAAATGCCATGAACTCGGATGCACTTGATAATTTTCTCGGCTTCCGCTACTCTTTCCTACTCTTTAGCATACCAGAGGATCGCACCCAATCAATAAAATACTACCATTTGAATGCGGTATCCAAACAATATCTAAATACAAATACTTAATAAGGATGCAGGTCCCCTTCAAAATAGGAATGTCACAACAAGAACGCTCCCATTCAAGTTCCAAAAAAACCATATAAA